ACCATTCCTATTTCCTTAACTGCAGCTGTGTATACATATTCAATATAAGATTTGGCGTAAATACGTATGGTATTTTGCAAAACCTGTCCATATGAATACTATATAGCGCAAGTCCAGCAACAAACATTTCTAATGCCACAAACGATTTGCCAATGCCGATCGTCGGATTCGCAAAAACCCGCTCACGGAACGCGGCAAAAACGCGCGGTAGCTGGGAAGCTTCCAAAAAATTCCATATTCAAAAGCCAAAAAAAAATTCCAAAGAGCACACAATATAGCAATGACGTCTTGCAATTCATTGCATTCGACATTCGTAAGTCCCCCAGTTTGATTTCAGTACGTGACAATAGGACAAAGCCTTGTCCCAAAGAAAACTTGATCCACTTTTGACAAGTGTCAAAGAGTCCAGAATTTTTTATCAGACAATCACGGGTGCTAACATCTTTAGGGCAAATAATATAACTTAAGACTCTGCATATAAAGTTCTGACACCTCATAATCCTCAAGGTAAGACGGGTGTCTTTGGCAGTTTGCTATAAAATAATTTAACTAGCTAAAACATAGATTGCATATTTATGCGAAAAACATGTAGGCAAATAAGAAATAAATTAAGAATGAAATCGGATTTAAAAATAAGAAATCATCTTACCAAAACATAACAAAAGTAAGTAATTTGATGGTCATTATTTTTAAGAACAATTTGCATGGAACCATTTCAATAAAATTTTTACTATAGGAACGTTATATTCTAACTTATAAGATGTATACTTTAATATACCATTTTTATAATTTTTAAATAATAATTACTTTGATAAGTTTTAACATTAAACTCCAATACAATAAATACATAAGAAATCCAAATCAGCCAGAAGGATATGGTTCCCTTTCTTGTAACCACTTACAACCCAAAGCAATTATTTTGACCACAACTGTTTAGCTACAATAACTGCGTATCAATCATGTACCATATAACGCAAAAGCCCTGGCGAAATCTTATCTGCACTACGAGCCAGCTGGAGTCCCCTGGAATTAAAGTCTTGCAATTTAATTTCGCGACCTGGTGGGACCTTGATGGACGATTCAATGCGACGAGACGGCGGGAGGTCCCCCTTTATAATAAAACCCCCATATTTATGCGCTGTAAACCTGGCTTACAAAAGACCGTGCCCGAACCGGACCTGGTCTTCGATCTTGGCAGGCCAGGCACTTAAGGCAAAAAGGGTGAACCGAACCGTAAACTGTTAACTGTCTAGCCAAGTGGCCGCTCCATCTCGATCTCATCCAGCTGCGCTCGAAACTAGTTTCCCTGCAGAAGTGGAAATATCGAGTTGTGCGTCTGTTTGGGGCTATCTATCTTTTACGGTCGTTGTCATTGTAGATATATCTTAAACGTATCTGTTGTGGTACTTACAATCTGCGAGCAGAACCAAAAGAAGTGCGCCGAAGAGGGCGAAACTTTTCCGCAGAGCCATTTGCGTTTTCAGATATGCGGGTACCGTCACTTCCTTTATCAATTAACTCCTTATCACACACGCACTGGTTACGCGCCACTAGATCGCTGGATATTTTGGATGAATAAGCGTTCCGAGTTGTTCTGCGGACCACTTATAAATATTTCTTGTTCCGCTGCCGAGGTTACGTGCGTTCGCGGCGAGGTTTGGGTCTGAAATGAGAAACCGAGTGGCACACGAAGTCGTCTGAGTCTGGTCAACTGCCAAAGCTCGTTGGCTCTGTTAACCGATCAAGGCCTCAAGCAGTAACATAACTAGTATTTATCGTAACAGAAAGTTGGGGGTAGTCAGTTTTTACATTTTTAAAGGATTAATTTAAATATAAGATCAATAAAACTTTGTATATTTAAACAAATATTTAATTGAGCAAGGAACTAGTCTTCTCCACAAAACATCATATTTTTTTAGAATTTAATGATAGTTAATGATAAAAACTACAAAATGCATTAAATGAGTCAAATGCTTTCTAAAATTTAAGAAAGTTTTCAAACTTTCAAGTCCATTATCCTACATTATTATTTTTGGTATCCCATATTAATCAAATCGACTAAGTAAAAGTATTGGATTTTTTATTGTATACACATAGTAGCCTGGCGCTTATGGTGGTCGAATGGCCAACCAAAACTTGGATGTCTGTGATTAAGGTAAGGTAACATAACACTTATATCTCAAGAATTCACCAGTTGCTTCAATGGTATATATCTAAAAATATTGAAGTATTTATTTTTTCTAGACATTCTGAGTGGCGCTCGGGTATACGTACAACTCTTTGGATTCTGTGTGTACAGTCAATTTTCAGTGCCCAAGCTGCCCTGGGCGAATTCCGTATTTACAAGAGACGGGGTCGGGATCTGGATGATGGGGTCGGGATATGGGTGGGGCCTTAAAATACCTAAACTCAACTATACTCAACAATTTGTCTTATGGTCACTACTTATACGCCTATGCCGGCGTTTGCACTTTAAGCTTCAACTTTATAGATTTGGCCAGGACACCAGCGGAGGAACCACGATCCCGACGGCCAATCCCCACACCGATCGCCGCATCCGTGCTATCCTGGACAGGGACCGATGGGGGGCGTGGCCGCGAGGAACGGTCGACCGGGGGCGTCGTTGGGGAATGAGTGACTAGTCCCGGAATTCATGGGGGAATCTTTCGCGGGACCGACCAGCAGCCCCTGCCGGGCGAACGCAGTCGATTAGTGGCGGACAAAACTTTCAAAGCAATCGAAAGCGAAACCTTTGTACACACTTGATAGATCCTGCGGGTCGAGTTCGTGGTCAGTTCGTCGTCAATGCTCAGTGTCCAGTGATCTTTTCGTTCGTTTTGTGGGTGAGAGAATGAGGGAAACTTAAACGGCTCGGTAAAAAAGAAAGGCATGGCAACGCGCTAAACAAATTGCTCCTGGCTGTTGGCGGACAGCTCCATCAGCCGCCAGGCAGCCTTGGGGTTGAGTTCGTTGCGGTCGCGGCACAGCACCCAGACGTAGTGCACCCGCATCACCTTCTCCGGATCGCCCTCGACGACCTGTTTCTTCTGGTCCCGCACGCACATGATCTGCTGCGCCTGGAACGTGATAATCAGTACGGGTCCTTGCTCCATCACCTTGCCCATGGCCAGTTCAATGTTCTCGATGTCGAGGATCTTTGAGTCCAGGTACATGCCGGCCTTCCTCGCCTCCTTGATGGGGGTGGCGATAATGTTGAACGTGCTCTCAAAGCACCAGTCCTTCAGTATCTCCAAATCGCCCCGGACAATCGACTCCAGGATGTTGGGGATGATGTCCGTTTCGCAGTCGTGCAGGAAGTCCTTCTGATCGAAGCTCGGGTCGATCTTCACCAGCTCCGTCATCGTTTCTGACAGCTCCGTCTTCGAGAAGAGGCCGCCCATCACGTCGGACACTTTGTCGGTAAGCAGGCGGGAGGCACGGATCACGGGGTTCTCCGACTCGTCGTACTTCACCTTCCAGTCAAGAACCTTGTTCACGTAGGTGTTGTTGTTCTTGAAGTTCTCCCACGACTCGTAGAACTTGGAGTCCTTGTGCAACTCCATGCCTGCCAATTGAATTGATTAATGTACCTTAGACCTTTGTAGGGGGTATAGATAAAGACCTACCAGTTGCTTCCGTGTTGGGTTCCACAACGCGATCGCTGTCGCTCATGTCCAGTTGGACTCGCTTGCGGAGCTGGAGAGGCGCACGGTAGACCCGGTTGTCTATGCTAGCGTTGTCCATCTCCTTCTTGATGATCGTCGTCGTGCTGGAGATGGCTTGGAAGGCGCTAGACTGGCCCAGCTTGCCGCTGGTGTCGGTGATCGTGTCGCTGACGCCCTTGGCCTTCCTCGACAGCTCCTCGGTGACCTTCTTGGCCAGGTCCGACTTGCTGGCGTCGTCCAGGACATCGCCCACGCGCTCCTTGATGGCGCCCAGCTGCTCCTTCAACTTGCTGGACGACTTCTGCGCCTCCGATTCGACAATGTTGAACTTTTGGCGCGCCGACTTCAGGGCGTCCGACTCCTCGAGCTTCTGGGCCTCCTCGCGGAACTTGCGGATGTTGTCCTTGATCTCCTTGTTCTTGTCCATCTCCGACTTCATGTTGTCGAAGAACTGCGAGAAGAAGCCGGGCCTGCGACTTGGCGCGCTATAAAAGCGGGGCTGCGGGGTAAAGTCATGACTTAATGCGGGTGCAACTTGGGTTTCTAAAAGCCCAAGTCTGACCTGCTGCTGCTGCAGATTCTGCGACGTCTGCTGGAACGTGAAGAGACAGGCGCGATCCCGCGCAAGGGCAGCTATTCTGTACTGCAAATGGAAAAAAACCATTGAAGCTCGTTTTAACCTCGAAATGTGCACATGTAGGGGGTTATCTCTGGGGCGCCAGTGTAGATCGGGATCTGAGGGAACCTACCATGGTGGGGATTAGGTGACCTTTCGCAGGGGATCCGACCGATGGCGAATGTTCGGGAGTATGGCGTCAGAGGCTCTAAACTTTATGTAATTCCTGCCGCGAACCACGCACGTATCAGCGTCAGCTGTTCTCTTCGTTCAGCGCGCGCCTGTGTTGCAAAACGTCCGTTGTCCGTCGGCGATAGTTTGCGCGATAGTTCGATTCGTCGGTAGTCCGATAGTCCCGGGCCGATATCATGAGAGGCCGTCACAGCGCGCGATATTTGAATTGTGTGAGGGGATTGTTGTTGTGACGGCGTGTAGCGCGTGTGGGTTTTTATAGTTTTAGGAATTTGTTTCCTAGTTTTCATTGATGTGTCAAGCTTAGTTGCTGGGTTTTCGTATTATGTAAGGGCGCGGTTAATGGTGGTACTGGTTCAATATACTGACAACAATCGTGTATAAAAAGTATGGGGCAATTGGTGTTTTTTTTTTAAAGATCTACTGTCTATTGTTTTTTGGTGAGAAAAAATAAAGCTTTATAACGCTTAAAAAATATCGATATGTTTGTGAGTCTAAGCAATTATCGCTGCAGCTACTTGGCCACCTCTAGCCAGGACCGTTAGATGGCGCGCGCAGCTTTACAAAATTCCAAGAATTCCCATTCCGCTGAGATTGTTCTGTGCGCTTTGTAGATGAAGCCAGTTGTCTCCGGGACATTACATTTTTTTGACTCCGCTCCACGATTTAAAGCCCAAAACCGAGTTTTGTTACATGTACATTATTGTTAGATAAAGAAGTATCGCGAATACTTCAGTTGATTAAACCAGGCTTGGTTTTTGGTTGAGGATCCGTGGAAAGCAGAGAGAGCGCGGATAACGGTAACTTTCGAGCCGTACTTTCGCCATGTTCCGCAGCAACTTGGAAGGCAGTGGCGCAGCAGCAGTAAGTGTGGAGCACCCCCCTTTCGCGATAAACCCTCCTACAAAGGGTTTCCTCTTCTGCTTGCAGGACAACTTTGCGGCATTCCACGCAAGAGGAGGACTCAATATGCTGGGTCTGCAGGACATGTACTTGGACACCAATGGCGCCAACTCGTCGTCGGCAACTCTCAGTCCGCCCAGCACCCCCCTGACGCCACTGACCCCCGACCCGCCGACTGCCCAGACGACGCACTTTCCCCTCCTGGCGGACAGCGCCGCCTCTGCCAATACGCTCCTGCTCCAGCGGCAGTACCACTACCACTTGCTGCTCCAGCAGCAGCAACAACAACTGGCCCTGGCGCAGCACCAATTGGCCTTGGCTGCATCGGCGGCGGCGAGTCACCAGCACAAGGACGAGATTGCTCGATCTTTGAAAATCTTTGCGCAGCTGACGACGGGCGCAGCAGGTGAGTAAGGAGAGGGACGAATAGCGAAATGGCGTCGTAGAAAACGGAATGGAAAATGCAACAGGCGAGAGCGAGACGACTGGCTGTCCGTGTACAGTTAATCCAAAGTCATGGGCTTATTTCAAGGGGGGTTAAGAGAGCAAACTGCATTGCATTCCAATTGGTGCACACAGATTGTTTACTTTATTTGTATCCTAATTCCAATATTTCAAAGCTCTTTAAAGAAGCTTTTAATGATTATTGAGTTATGTTAAAGAAATTTTAAGTTTATTACCGCTTTAAAATCTCTTAAAATCTGTGCTTAATCAATTCTAAGATTTGAAAATCAAATTAGGATCAATTTGATTGACATTCATATTTTTTATTTTTTTAGCTTTAATTAATTCTAATCTGAGTTAATGAAGGTTAAATCCTGAAACTGATTTTCGGATATATTGTTTATCACCTAGTGGTCTGATTCTCCCTTTAATGAGTACATATTTACAACGCCTCTGACTTTTCGGTCGATGACCTTCAGATCACTTGCGCTATTTCTTTTCCTAACACTCGAGAAAGCCATTTTGGTGTTTTATCTTCTCCGCTCTGTTTACGATCCTCGAAATTTTCTTGATCTTTCCTGCTTTACTTAAAGCTAACGCGTTTTTCAAGAGTGATGATCTTCATTACTCAAATGCAGGCATTTTAAATTTTAGGACTAATATATGTATGGCTGTGCTTGTTTTTATTTAATAGAATAGATAATTCATAGTCAAAAAAATTTCTTCATTATTTTAGTTATAAAATATTTTACAAAAATGGAAAACCAAAAAATGGCATATTTTCATAACTTTTAAATGCACCAAAAACCAAAATCAAAATGTCTTTGATCGATCTGTACGTGATAATAAAAAGCTTCCTACTTACAGAAAACGCGACTGGCTCCATGCACGATGTAATGCAGGATTTTGCAACCAACGGCTATGTGAGCGATGACCTTGGCCGCTTTTCCTACGGGAGTGCTCCGCCTCAGGCGCAGACACCTCCGCCGGCTCAGCAGCAGCAGCCACAACAACAAGGAATGCACTTGCCACTGGGACGCAATCCTGTAATGCAGTCCAATGGGGCCAACTTGATGTCCGTGGCCACACCACTGGCCTCCCAATGGCTGCACAACTACCGCGAGCAGCTAAACAGCGTATGGAGAAACATGTCCTACACCAGTGCCGTGCAGGCCCAGGCACAAGCTACAGTTGCCATGTCCCCCAATCTCGGCATGGGAATGGGTCTGGGATTGCCCCTGCAGCCGGACCAGCTGCGCGGTGCTTCCAATCCCAGCAACAACAAGGTGCACAAGCGATACAATAACAACAACAAGGCCAAAGAGGTGGGTGGTCCTGATCAAGTTTTATAGTAGGAAGTACTAAATAAAGTTTCTTGAAAACTAACTTAACATGGAAATTGGAAATCCTTAGAATTAGTATATCTCTGGATTTTAATAAGTTATTATTTATTTATACATTTTTTACTTACTCTTTAATATAAGTCTGAGGAATGAATTCAAATCAGAAACATTGAATGGTTTTAAGTTGATAACACAATTTCAATTAAACCATTTATAACTTATTTATAAATGAATTTATGAACTGTCCTTGTTTCTCTATAAAGTCTTAAGATCATATCTCTTTTATAAAAATTCAAAGCAGATTTGGAACTTTCTATCTAAGATAAACCTGACAAATCCTTAAAAATCTACTTATTATCTACCCTTACAGATCAGCCGCCACTGCGTCTTTTGTGAGAATAACAACGAACCAGAGGCGGTGGTCAACAGCCACACAGTAAGAGACAACTTCAACCGAGTACTGTGCCCCAAGCTGCGCACCTACGTCTGCCCCATATGCGGGGCATCTGGGGACTCGGCGCACACCATTAAGTACTGCCCCAAGAAGCCGATTATCACTATGGAGGATGCTATCAAGGCGGAGTCATTCCGCCTGGCCAAGAGTAGCTACTACAAGCAACAGATGAAGGTCTAGAGAACACATCCGGCAGGAGCAGAGGCTCTGGCAGCTTTTGCAGCGTTTATATAGTCAGAAATATATATACGCGTTCCGATCGCAGCTGGATTTACCAGATAGATAATACTTTAAATAGCGCCTGGCGCGTTCGATTTTATAGAGTTTTAGAGACTTATCTCGTGCCTATATTCCTTATAGTATAGTCAAAGAGCGATCACTCAAATCAATTCAAAGTCAATTATTCGAAAATTTATGTCCGTTTCTGTGAAAAGGAAACCAATTTTGTAATGGAAGAGTACTCACAATATCGTAATATTTGTTCAATCGTCGTGGCCGATAGAAACATCTCACAATACTAGAGTTAACCGATGGAATTGGTCTGCAACAGGTCGCCCTCATTTTGTCAAATGTTCGTTTGCGGCCGAGTAAATTTCGATATATCTACAAGTGATATATAATCTGTACTAAATTTTGAAATAGAACACTTTGAATTTCGAACTGTCAATCGTAATAAATATTAGAATTTAATTTGAAGCTTGCTAAAGGAAAGAGCAAGGAAACTTTCGTTACAATCGGCTACACTTACATTTTCATTGTGAGTTTTTAAATTTTGACATTCCGCAGTTTTTCATAGGATAAGCGAATAATTTTTTTATTACATGTATCGCTAAAATTCATTCCAACACATATATCTATATAAATGTTATATATTTATTTCATCGTGTTCTCAATCCCTAAAAATGTAACTACAAAATTTATTAGATTATAATTTTTTTTATTTTTTTATAAAGATGTACATAACTGAAGTTGAAAAAATTCAATGGCACTGGCCAAATAAAGGTTTAGTTTACATTCTAAGCGTACATTTCATTTTCTGGTTTTGTATCTAGCTTCCGTCTCCCTCGGGGCGTTTTCGAAAGGGCCAGGAAGATGCCGTCGGTAAGATCGCTGTCCGGAAGAGAGTATAGGCAGTTTTTGCCTATCTTGGCGTATGCCTTGTCGCCCACATTGTTCCACTTGTTGCGCAGCGCCTTCTTGCAGCTGAGCAGCTTGAAGGATGGATTGAACTGTAGGCAGCGCTCCACCACCTGTTCATTCTCCTCCTTGTACAGCGAACAAGTGCAGTAGGCGATCCGTTTAACGTTCGGAAAGGCGCTCATTGCGTGCGACAGGATCTTGATCTGCAAGCCAGCTAACTGGTACAGCCGCCTGTCGTCCTTTGGTTCGTCGGCCACGGTGATGCGGCTCTGCATTCCGCTGCCAGTGCAACTGGGGTCCACCAGGATGTACTCTACGCCCGGAAACCTCTCGGGTACTGCAAAAGGTATATGTTTTTTATCGGGTATTAACTAAATTACCAAGAACTTACAGAATCTCAGCACGTCGCCCATAATGGGGGACACAATCTCGCAGCCAGCCTGCTCGGTTATGTCGCACAGGGCACTGTAGCGTTCGGCGGACTGCTCCACGGCGTAGATGACTCCCTTGTTCTGCATCACGTTGCACAAGTGCATTGTTTTCATGCCCGGAGCTGCGCACATGTCCAGCACAGTTGCTCCACCGGCGGAGCCAGTAGCTCGGCGGCCAAACATGTGCCTTATTCTGCAGTATAAACTTCTTGCTGCGCACCAACTCATGGCGGGTCCAATAGCTCCCTTGCTTGGAATGGAAGACGAGCACGCCTTCCACATGTAATCCGTCATGAATTCGTCTTCCTCTAGGGCTTTACGGCGGCCAGGAAATCGTCGTAGCTTGCGTCCGCCGGGAGTTCCTTGCGACGCCACTCCTCGCCAGCCAGATACCCAAGGCCTCCGCCAAACTGAACAGATTCGTGTTGATGCGCACATAGCGGGGAATGCGTGCTATTTGGGTGAACAAAGACAAATAAAATCAGCGTTTAAAAGTGTGTCAATGTAAGATTTATTTAGGGTAGTATGGGGTTACTGATCCTTTAAAAGAATTGTGTGACTTGAAATTGTTTGGTTTGCAAAGATGTTTTTGTTCTTTTTGATACGCCAAGTAGCATGTGGGCTACTTAAGTTACTGCTCCTTCTTGTCCTCTTCATTTCGGACTCTTTCTCCTCATCTGCTCCACCGGCTCCAATGGTGGTGGAGGCTTTTCGCGGAAGGCCTTGAGCACGTACATGGCCACCACCAAGTTTACGACCAGGACAGCCGTGAGCACGGACCAGCAGTTGACCGTAAAGACGTCCAGATGGGGAAATGACTCTGCAGCCAGCTGCGCACGCCGTAAAAGCCCAGGAAGGGCAGCGTGAACATGAGGACACTGTAGCCAGCAGCCAGAGGAAGACCTCGGTGCTGGTGTCCTCCTCCTGGGGATACTGTTCCACTGGAGGCTCAACTTCTGCTACAGGCTCATCGATGGCGGCCGCCACCACCTCCGGCCTGCTGTTTCCTGTTCTTTTTGCCCATCTCAGCCTGCTAATACTGCTAGTTGGTAAAAGGTGAACCTGCCTTTTCCCTGGAATTCGGAATCACCGACTGCCGCCTGTAGTTTCTCCTGGTAACTTCGCACCGTTTGCACGGGTCTGCTTTCGCCGTTCAGCTGCTTCCGGCCGAAGATTAGTTCGGTGACCAAAACCTTGGCCAAACAGGGCTCCAGACCGGGGTTATCCTTGAGCAGTCCCGATTCCTCGATGGCCTTTTCCACGGCAACGCGATTATCGCTGTAACGTTTTAGCACCGCCTGCAAACTGCCAACACGCTGCAAGTGCGAAAGAGGAAGGAGAAAAGTGATATATTCGCCTGATTCTCGGCCGGAGGTCCGGCCACTCACTGCATGCTTCTCCTCGGATATCAGGGCCTTGATGGACTTCTTCTGCTGCAGCGCCGTCTTCAGGATCTTGGCAGTCGCCCGGTATTGGGTGGGAACTTTAACGGAATGCGCTTTTTTACTCATTTTCGTCACGTGCACGTGTATGCGTTGTTTTCGCTAGAGGTGGCCTGGCCACTCACGACAGTATCGATATATCGATTACTTGGCCGGTGGCGTTCACCAAAATAACGTGATCGGTGATTGCTCTTCCATAACTTCTCAGTGATCGTGTCCTTTTCCAATACAGCATTGCCAGCGCAAAAATTTCTGTATGAATCGGGTAAATTTTAAAAAGTCGAACTACATTTATGTAGCGGTTGAAACTTGCAACTTAAAAGTATAGAAATATTTTCTTTTTCAAAAATGATGTCTCGATAAGTGAACGTGCATGCATAACTCGAATCTGAATCTATAAGTAAATTTCTTAAAAAAAATTAATTTGCGGAAAAAATGTTATACGATATAAGTTTCTTTTTTGGGAATAACACGTTAGTTTTAGATTTAGTTTAGTTAGTAATTCTTAATTCATCCTCACATTATACAAAGGCGCCGTTTTTAAACTTCATCATAATTGAGCTAAAGCTTTTTTCGAGATAAATAAGTTGTAATGAAAGTGTGAATACATACATATACAAATATTATACAAGCAATTTTTTTTGTACATAACTAAACTATAATTTTTACTTGCTTTTGTCTAAAACTTAAAAAATGCAAAATAACGGGTTTTCCTCTTTGTTTTTTTTCAAGGAAATGCACACAAAACATTTTTTGAATAGCATCGACCAATACATTTAATGTTTAAATTATACGTAACTATCCCAATTGGTCAATTGTACCCATACAATTTTTTCTCGTGTGAAGGCACTTAGGTAAATTGTTTTTTCTTTATTCATTATTATCCAATATTTTATATGTTTGTATTTCATTTTAAGCTTACAAATTGGCAAATACAAGGATATTTAAAATTCTGAAAAAATCAGTGAACAAAATGATCAAGTTTTAAGAAAAACATTGAACATTTAAGTGTATATGAACATTTTTTTTCAAGAAGTATAGTATAATTTTTTTTGTTCTTTGTTTAAAAAAATTATTCATAATAAATTGATAAAATATTTGAAAACAAGTGGGCTGTAAATTAGTCATTCGATTTAATAAAAAGGTTTTTAACTAAACAAATGAGTAAAAGTTCAATATTCTTGATGTCTTAAAAATTAACTTTTGCTTAAAAAAATGAAACTAAAACTGGTCAGATAACCATCACAGGAATGTGTTCCTAAAGCGAGTCGGTGAAGTCAAAAGGGTCAAGACACCCGGAAGGATGCATGATGGATGTGGGGATGTGGAGGATACTTTTTTTGTTCCCTCTCGCCAGAATTTGGCCCAATTAAATTCGGTATTCCAAAAAAAAGCACGCCTCCCTCCCCAAAACACAAAAAAACAAGAGGCGCCGGGAACAAAAAACCGGAATCGAGAGCGCGAGAGAGGAAGAGAGGGCCAACTACACACATAAAAAACATAAACAAGCCTTTTTTAATATGTGCGAGAGAGAAAAAAGCAGAGAACAAGAGAGACTCCCTCCCTCAGCGCTACTACTGATTATTGAAAAAACGCGCTCTTCGCAGTGATTTTTTTTCAGTTTTCGAACGAACGCGAACCCGAACAGTTATTCTTGCTCCTCCTCGCTGCTTCTGTTTCTGTTTTTTGTGTTTGCCGCGACGTAAACAAGCGAAGAGCGGAGCTTACGCCCCCTCCGCCCCACGCCCCCTCGCAACGTGCTCTGCTCGTTGTAATTGCAATTAAACGCTGTCACTCGCCGAAAAAAAAGACAAAATTCGGGAGTCCGAAAAGGTTGACAAAAAAGGGCAAAAAAAAAAGCACAAGTGCAGAAAAAAAAACAGAAACTTGCGAGCGCGTGTGTGTGAGTGCTGGTGTGCGTTGGTGTCTGTGTGTATATTTTTGGCGTGCGCGGCCATTTTTTCTTGTTGCCACTCGACGTCTCTTCTGCGTGCGAAAGAGAGGCCCGATCCGCCGCGAAGAAGAACGTAGCAAACTACGCAAATCCCCACTAAATTCGCTAATTTGCGCGAAATAAATCAATCGCGGGAGGCGCCGAGAAACAAACAAAACGTACATACATACGAAAATAAAGTGCCGCAAACCACAAACCAGCGTGCTTGTGTGTGTGTGTGTGTGCTAAAGAGGTGAGCACACCCACCCACCCACAATCAGTCGGCGAACACGTGCTCCAAAATATCAACAAAAGTTGGCCCACAAATAAGAAAAAAAAGGGGCAAAAACTGCAGCGGAACCGAACGCCGGAACACAAAAGGCACTTTCAAATTGGTTAGTACTTTACGATGCACGAGCATGTTTTATTTATTTGCCTTATTGGACAAACACACTTGGCGATTGAGACTCGAGTGTGTTTGTTGCTCTTTCCCGCGCTCAAAGCACAGTGGAATTTGCTACGATAATTCTGGAATCTAGGACATTTGAATAGTGGGCAAATAATCCTAAAGTAGAGTAAAAACATGTAATATTGTGAATAGGGATATACAAATATTTGTTTAAAAAGTCTCCAATTTGAAAAACTGTTTTGTAAGTAGGTTCAGGTGTTATAAAGCCCAATCTGGGGCTTCATATAGTACATAGAATACACGTTTAGCCCTATTATTTTTTACTTATTCAAAATTGTGTCAATATATTGTTGTATTTTTACAAAAGTTATTAAAAAGATGAGGTACAAAATGAAATATTTTAAATTAATTTCAAGTTAAACATTTTATAAATTATTTTATTTATTTCCCATATAACCCGCTCAAAAAGAAAAAACGAAAAATAACTTTTATACCTCTATTTTTTGTCAACAAAACTTCATCATTTCCGTCAATCAGTTTTTTCATAATCAAAACTTTTGAAATTTTTTTATGTTTTCATTTTAATTGTTAAAATTTATGTTATATGTTAAGTAATATTTTTTCAATTCATCATTGTATAAATAATGTAAACTAATAATGACATATTCACAATTTCTTTGTACGTTTTGATCAAAAAGTAATTGAATTTTAACAAGGTTTCAGAATTTTTTTTTAATTCAATAGAGGTGCCCGTTTGCCCCACTGTCCGCTGGTCAAATATTTTGAACATTTCTTCCACATATTCTCTCTTTGCAGAAATAATGTACATAAAACACTTTGTTGGCCAAATGCGACTGTCAACAAATAATTAAGCTAGAATAATTTGAAAACCATTTTCGCAAACGTGCTCCATTATTTGACCATCCGTTTTGTGCTTGTTTGACTTTAATGTTCGTTCCCATTCATTCGGTGGCGGTTTTTGTTTTTTATGTTTGTGTGACGTTGTGTCTTTTTTATCTTCCACTTTTTTTTTGTATTCATCAAATATTCGCTGCTTTTTTTTCGCACACATGTCGCCCCCAACCAGAAAGAGAGGGGGAATGAGAGAGAGAGCGGTCCGAATTGCGGTTATTGCGCTGATGTTGTTGTTGCTGTCCGCCCGCTCGTTTGTTTATGTTGCTCTCTTGCTCGCTCTTCTGCTCTCTTTTGTTTTCAGCTGCTCGCGCTCAATTAATTTTCGTTGATTCGTTTTTTGTGTGTAGTGTGGTTTTTTGTGTATACCATTTTATTTATATGCTTTTTGGGCTTCTCTTTTTCCTTTTTTTCTGTTTCGGTTTTTTTTTTGTTTTTTGGGGGGTTTTTCTTTATGTTGTATTTTTGGGGCCTGCCCGATTGCCCATTTACATTTATCAGGTTGAGTGGCCGATTTTCCGTGTTTCTAGATCTGTAGTTACACGATTACGATTCCGGCTTCTGTTTTTTTTGTTGGTCGCCACTTTCGCTGATTCTTTTATTGCAATTGCTTGAGCGGCAAACAATTGTTTGTTTGTCGCCCCGTCTCGCTCTGAATGTGCGCAACAAGCGAGTGGCGCGTCCTTTTTTATTTGCATTACATTACCCTCCCCCTCCTCGCCCCGCCCCCTCCCCCTCCATGGAATTCCTTCTGCCATGCTGTTCAATTGTCCAACGTCAGCACAACAAACAACAACAAAACCGGTTTTTTGACCAGGCAGGAAAAAAAAACGAAAAAAAAATAAAACCAAAAATTGAATTTACCTCTGACGTCAACTCCCACCCGACCAAAAGGTCGTAGTCAAATCGCGCGCGAATCTTAAACCTGCACACCATAGTTCTAAGTTTATTTCCTTCATAAATAATAGGTTTTAATCGGCTTGGCTTTTACTGTTCTTGTTTTATTACAGAAATAGCTCTTAAAGTTTTGCACATTAATAAACAGATTTATACCTATACATATCTATTGCTCTGTTTTTCTTATTACTGTTAACCACACAATTAATTTCAATTAAAAGATTAGATAGTTTAAGTTAAATAACCGTTTCAGTTAAAAAACGAAATGTTTACTTGACTAAATTAAATTCCTTTTATATCCTTTAAGGCCATGCCTCAATGATTAATTAACATAAACAATTTTCTTTTTTCGTTTAGTCCAAAAATAAACATGTTGGTTAAACTTATTTTTTAAATTGGATATATCAAGTCTGTCTATTTTTTTTGCGTATGTCTAAATATTTCTAATGCAGATATAATTTTTTACGGGTTCTAGTAAGAACATAAACCTCCGAGATGATAGGTATTACAGTCAGAGACCTAATATATTCTTAATATTTTGTATGCTGACAGATATTTACAGTACTAACAGAAAATAGATTATATTTTTATGTTTCTGCGTATGTGTCACATTATTGGTAAACTGATTGACTTAAAACATTTAAAAACTTTCAAAACAGTTGTTTATTGTTTGTCAGTATTATTCTCTGAATAAATCTTATTCACACATTTTAATCAAACAAACACATAGATATTAAACATTCCTTGTTGAATCAACGACCTAAATTGATAAAATCAACAAATGTTTTGTAACAAATTCAATTATTTCTTTAACTAATCTGAATATTTTTAAACTTAGTGCCTTACACAGCTACCAGAACTTTTCAAAATTCTGCATAATTTCAGCAGATTTTTTGACAGTTTGGAATCTCTAAATCATTTCCGCTTTCGAATTAGATATGTTGAGATCTTAGATTAATCCGCCAATCGGTTGACATTCA